AGTCTTTTTTTTCCTAATTTTTTTTCCATCGTCCACGATGAGTTCCGTCACATTGGTGACGTTGACCAATAGCAGCACAGAAGCTCTTTCATACACCGGTTTCAAACATGGCAAAACGAAAGAGAGATGATGGTGCTGCTAGGTGGAATTATGAGATGGAGGAAAGGTTCGTGGAGCTGTGGCAACAGTACTCCTGCCTGTATGATGTGTCATCGAGGGACTACCACGACAGAACAAAGAAAGAAAAATGCTGGCGAACTATAACGGAAGCGCTTCAGCAATGTTTACACTCTTGTTTTCGGAAGTCAGTCGCTAGTTCCGCCTTCTTGATGACATCACACGCGTCGTTAAAGACGGCACGCGATGAATGTTCGGGACGCAACGTGTAGTCTGACATGTTTCTTGTCCATGACATGACAAGATTTTAGGAGTCAAAATCGTGTAATCTGACAGTGACTATCGTGACTTGACAAAAATATTGTGTAGTCTGAACCCGGCATTACGCGACTCACCTGTAAGTCTCCTTCTCTTCCAGTGTATTTCTTGTGTAAAATTACTACCACGCGTCTAGCAGTAGCCTGCTTAAGTAATGTATTTTAGTCATTGTTTAAGTGTTTGTTGGTGTGTAATTAAGATATACAGCTCCTCTGCCAGGTCTCAGGAATTTAGTCTTTGTTTACATGCTGCTCTTTTGCTGAGCTCCCTGTCAGACCTTCAGAAGAACAAATGAATCATTTACTGTTGAGTTAATTTATAATCTTTGAATTGATCATCATCTAATATTCATATTATAAAGCGTAGTTGTAAGTTATTGTAGTTTTATCCCTGTTGTTATAGTTTTACTATAGATAATCTACTGGACTGATGTTTGTTAAGAGTCAGTTGGTGTGTGAAGCTGATTCATGCTTTAGTAGAGCAGCAGTGCTTTGCTTCTAATCCTGCCTTTTAGCAAAACTGTAGTTTATTGTGAAGGAAAGTCTCGTTTTAAAGGGATACTCCACCCCAAAATGAAAATTTTGTCATTAATCACTTACCCCCATGTCATTCCAAACCCGTAAAAGCTTCATTCGTCTTCGGAACACAATTTAAGATATTTTGGATGAAAACCAGGAGGCTTGTGACTGTCCGATTGACTGCCAAGTAAATTACATTGTCAAGGTCCAGAAAAGTATGAAAGACATTGTCAGAATAGTCCATCTGCCATCAGTGGTTCAACCGTAATGTTATGAAGCGACGAGAATACTTTTTGTACTCGAAGAAAACAAAAATAACGACTTTATTCAACTATTCGTCTTCTCTGTCTCTCCTCATCACTGTAGTGCCATTTTGGAGAATAACCACTGAACGCAAGCAGCATATGCTATTCTGTGTCAGCCGCGACACAAGGATACGTTTTCTATGTGTATTTACGCTTTGATATGTGTATTTACGGATGCGCAGAAAACAGCGCATCCGTGTGGCGCGGCTGACACAGAAGAGCGTAAGCTGTTTGCGTTCAGTGGATATTCTCCAAAATAGCGCTACGGTGATGCGGAGAGACACAGAGGAGACGAACTGTTGAATAAAGTCATTATTTTTGTTTTCTTCGTGCCACAGATCTCTTGTCTGAACATGTGCTGGAACTTCCATTTCACTATTCTCTCTGTCATTTTACAATAAACCAAAAAAATTTAACCCATTGAGCTGGGATTTGAACCCGTGACACCACCACAGTCCTTATTGTGAGTAATGTGTGTTTAGCCATTTGTGCCACACTGGCTTTCACATTTGGGCCAATTTGTTGGATATAATGCAATACATGAGCTTTAACATAAGCAATAGTGGGGCTCAAACTCAGGACTCCATGATCCCAACACAACACTCTGCATCCTGAGCCACTGTGCCAGGTGAGTTACTGGTTGTTTTGGACAGGTTTTATTGAGAGCTTTGGTTCATGTGTTTTAAAAAAAAAAATTTAAGAGCATTTTAGGTGGTGTTTTGCTGGACACAGTAACAACAGCTGAATGTAAGCAATAGTGGGATTTGAACGCAGGACTCCATGATTCACAAACAACTCTTTATCTCCTGCACCACTGTGTGGTGATAGCTGTTGTAGTGTTTGAGATGGAAATACGATAAAATAGTTAAAACATCTTCAATTGTGTGATTTGAACCCAAGGCAAACCACTGTTTTATGAGTCACAATATTTGCAACAATTTGTTGTTGGTTTTTCTGCTATGCAAATTAAGTAATAGCAGTATTTGAACTCAACACTGGATTTGTGGTGTGAAGGGGTGTTTTTCTTTGTGTTTTGTTAGATATGACGTAAATATATGAACTGCCACTTGTGCAAAACAAATGAGTCCAACACATCAGCCTGGAAGTTTCTTTTAATCCTGAAGACCTTGATTAGCTGCTTCAGCTGTTTTTCATCAGGATTGGAGCTAAAATCAGGACAGTGGCTCACCAGGAGCAGGATTACACAATCTCTTTCCTCCTGCTGTTTTCATGTCTTAATGCAGATACACTTATTGTCCACAAGGGGGAGTACATTAACACATTGATCTGGTCTCATGCCTGTTATCATAGACTGTATGCCTGTTATCCACCCATTCATTCTTCAAACCGCTTCTCCTGTAGGATCCTATGAGGGGATGCTGGAGTCTGTCCCAGAGTCTTGTACCCAAAGCAGGAAAACACCCAGTCCATCACAGGGCAATTTGAGGTAGATCCAGTCAAGCTTTACTATAAATCCTGCTTGATTCTCCAAACACAACAACACAAACTAGTGTCGCTCCCGAAAGAATCAATGCAAATACACGGAAAAACGCGTCCCGATCTGCTGAGCATCAGGGAGTGCTGGTCGTTTGACAGTGAGCCGATCAGTGTTTCCTCCACAAAAGGCGACACTGTATGTCTCGCACTGTTTGCGAGCGCACCGCTCGTCCAAACGCGTTACAACGCGCGCCAAGCGAGCAGGACACATATATAATTACTCTATCCAGTAGTTTAGTGATATTCCAACGAATCTTTTTTCTCTCTGTGTGTGTGTGTGTGTGTGTGCGCGCGCTCGTCGTTAACTACTTAATCCTCATTTTAAAAGACTGGTATACAAAAGACTAATTTCCAGGAACTTTCCAGGAATCGTATCACGTGGTCAGATGTGCGAGCGCTCTCTTAAGGTCGTGCCAACGGGCTATTTTGTTGTTGTTTCTTTGTTTGTTTTGTTGAGATCTGCCAGACACATGTTTATATCACAATTCACGCTGCATGTAATTATTTAATTTAATTTAATTTAATTTTTGTTTGTTTTTACATCTTACATCCTTCCTATAAGGATGTTTTCATTAGAAGACTAATTGTAAATTGTAATTTTTTTTTTTTACATAAAGGCCTAATATCACAACCAGCAATGAAATGCAAGGGACAGACGAAATATACTGCAATACGTTCAATATAGCACATCCCAAATCTATTTTATTGTTTATTATTCGTTCTATGTTGTATTTCTGTAATAAAATGTTTATTTCTTTAAAACATCTGTGATGGGCATGTTTTTTTTTTTTTACAGAATCTGTTGTAGAATCTCATTGGCTAATTGTTAAAAAACATGATAAGTGAAATCAAATAAATATCTGCTTCAGCCATAGACAATATGAAAATCCTTGATTTGTTTACGAGTTTGTCATTGAGTTCAACAACATAACATTTTATCAGACTTACCACATAATTTGAACACTGATCTGGATCATTTAACAAACTACTAGATATGACAAAATATAAATTTGTAAAATTTATCTAAATCTTTGTCCTCTCACCTGCCACCTCGGGTTTGTAATTTCAGTTAATAACGCTGATAAACTTATTGACCACAAGAGAGAGCAGATGATCAGCTGTTTGTCACCTGCCTTATACACATTTAACCAAATAAAAAAGGGGCTTTTGCTTTTTCTTCAGTATGAAACTGTTAAAGCATGTGTTTTGTAATATGGGCAATGACCCAATCTCTGAAGCAACTTTGAGTCCGTTGGCAATAAAATATGATTTGTAAGGTAAAAACTGAAGTGCAGTTTTCCATTTATAATCTTTGAATAAATCGACATCTGATATTCATATTATGAAGCAGAATTATAAGTAATCATTGTTTTGTCTCTGTTGTAGTCTTACTGTAGGCATAGGCTACTGGATTGACGTTAATAGAGTCAGTTGGTGCGTCAGTTGGCGCTGTAGTTTAGTAGAGCAGCAGTGCTTTGCTTCTAATGAAAACCATCCAAGACAGCATTCAGTCCATGTGCAGGAAACCTGTGTTTTATTTACTGTGAAGGAAAGTCTTATCTTAATTTCAGTTGAAGCAAAATATTATTATTGATATATCATTACTTAGGTATACTGTACTTTAGACTAACTGTAATATGTTAAGCTACACAGTATGGAGTGATGTCTGTTTATGTCTTTCCCCTACAGAATAAGGGATGTTTGGACCGTTACACTCAGCCAACAGAAGCATGTGGACAGACATTCACTGATGGACATCCATAAGTAACATCATGTCAATGTCAGTGTCATGTCAATGTTTTTTCACATGTTCAGGGTTCAAATCCATTGACATTATTGCATGTTTTTTTTAACCTGATATCCAGCAAAACACAAAAAACACACCTTAACACCACAAATTCAGTGACTGTAAAGTGTTTCAATCTTGAGTTCAAATCCTACTATTACTTAATTTGTCATTATATCTACCACTAAACAGAAAAACCAACAACAAATTGTTGCAAACTTTGTGGCTTATAAAATGTGTAATTTGCTATTTTATCGTATTTCCATCTAAAACACCACTATACCACTATGCAGTGGTGCAGAAGATAAAGCTGTTACTGTGTCTAGCAAAACTCCACATAAAACGCTCAAAAAAAAAAATCGTTTTTTTTTTAAATCACATGAACCAAAGCTCTCAATAAAACCCGTCCAAAACAACCAGTAATTCACCTGGTTCAGTGGCTCAGGATGCAGAGTGTTGCGTTGGGATCATGGAGTCATGAGTTCGAGCCCCACTATTGGTTACATTAAAGCTCATGTATTGCATTATATCCAACAAATTGGCCCAAATGCCAGTCCTCAATGTGAAAGCCAGTGTGGCACTAATGGCTAAACAAATGTTTCTTACAGTCAGGACTGCAGTGGTGTCATGGGTTCAAACCCCAGCTCAATGGGTTCAAAATTTATATGGTTTATTGTAACGTGACAGGGTTAATAGTGAAATATAAGTTCCTGCACATGTTCAGACAAGAGATCTGTGGCTCAGAGGTAAGAGCACTGCCTCATGGTTTCAGAGGTTGCTGGTTCAAGTCCAGCCAGGTCTCTGCAATATGAGTGAATGGTCTGGTGTGAGTGAGAAGGTGTGGGGGATCATGGCATCCCCCCTGAGTTCCAGCACAATGTCCAGCAGGGGTTATGCTTCTGCCTGAAAAAAAAAAATGTAATTTGCTATAAATTTTTCCCATCCCTTCCCCACCTACTTAGGTTACCATCATTTGCTTTTCAAAGGGGTGCTCCTTCAAAAAGAAAATGATAGTAACCTATACATTTACAAGCAAACAACACACAGTGAACTGTTATAAGTATTACCTGTGCATCAGCAGATGTCCATCATCACAGTCAATGTCTGTCCACATGCTTCTGTTGGCTGAATGTAACGGTCCAAACATCCCTTATTCTGTAGGGGAAAGACATAAATAAACAGACATCACTCCATACTGTGTAGCTAAAACTCAACATATTACAGTCAGTCTAAACTACATTATACCTAACATAAGTAATGATGTATCAATAATAATATTTTGGTTCAAATGAAATTAAAATGAGGCTGTGCTGCACAGTAAATAACTATTTCTAAAAGGCAGTTTTTTTCTGCACATGAACTCAATACATGATGGTTTTGATTAGAAGCAAAGCATTGCTGCTCTACTAAAGCATGAAGCAGCTTCACACACCAACTGACTCTATTAGCATCAGTCCAGTAGATTATTACATACAGTAAGACTACAACAACAGAGACAAAACTATGATTAGTAATAATTACGCTTCATAATATGAATATTAGATGATGATCAATTCAAAGATTATAAATGCAACAATAACTGATTCATTTGTTCTTCTGAAGGTCTGACAGGGAGCTCAGCAAGAGAGCAGCATGTAAACAAAGACTAAATTACCTGACAGAGGAGCTCTGTATCTGAATTACACACCAACAAACACTTGAACAAGGACTGAAATACATTACTTAAGCAGGCTACTGCTAGACGCGTGGTAGTAATTTTACAAGAGAAATACACTGGAAGAGAAGGAGACTTACAGGTGAGTCGCGTGACATCTTCCACTACTGCACTTTATCACAGCGTTTGTCTGTTTTGTTTGTTTATGGGCTGAAATGTGCGATGTTAAGTGACATTATGAGTCTGTAGCTCAGCTGTCATTTGCAGAATTTATACTTAAATCAGTCTGCACGTGTTGGTGTGACTGTTATCAAGCGTCATGTTGTCAAGCAGCATCTTCTGAATGCGTCAAACTGAACCTAAAGCCTGATTCCACCGCCTGGTGGAGCGGATGGAAAGCTGCACTTCAGTTTTTACTTTACAAACCATAGTTTACTGTCAACGGACTCAAAGTTGCTTTCGAGATTGAGACATTGCCCATATTACAAAACACACGCTTTAACATTTTCATACTGAAGGAAAAAGCAAAAGCCCTTTTTTATGTGTAATAAGGCAGATGACAAACTGCTGATCATCAGCTCCCTCTTGTGGTCAATAAGTTTATTCGCGTTATTCACTGAAACGGTACAAACCCGAGATGGCAAATCGTAGGTGAGAGGACCGATTAGATTTAGAATATATTACAACACATTTATAGGCTGTTTTTCAGGGTCTTGACCAACAGGGCAACATAAAGTAGTTTATCCTATAAATTATCCTGATCAGCTTGGAAACAAAATCAAACATCCCATTTTTAATACAAAATATACCAAAGTAAAATGGGATGATGTGAGAGATTGATCACTGATTGTACATTTATAGTGAAGCTTGATTAATTGGATATACGATTATTAAAGTTTATATCAAAATGACATGTGACATCTGTATTTATAAAGTAATGAGTTAAACAACATTTATGATTTTTTAAATTATTTTAATATTTCTTTTAAAATACTAAATTAAGTGACATTGTGTCGATACAGGATCATTTTCGTTGTGTATTCATTTTAATAATAATAATAATTGTATTTTTGCATTTCAGTTGATATATTTTTGAAGAAAATGTCCTCATTTTTCACTCAAGGATTATATTAAGTGAAAGGGCTCATTTTATGTATGCAAAATATTATTTATTGCTTTTTTATTATTATTTTGGGGTGAAATATGACCCAGACATTTCTGTGTGAGATTCATCCGTGAAGTTCAACACATTACTCCAGTATTGCTTTGATGATTTGTTAACTTTAGTGCTCACTTCAGCCAAGCTTCGCAAATCTCATAAATGTAGAGAAGAGGAGAGGCTGCTGGGGTCTCAAGGTCAACAACCGAATTCTTGTGAAAACAAGACAGAGAGCATTGTTTTTTAGTTCCAAACAATTTAACATCCAGACTAAAATGAAGACTGTGCTTGCTCACCGGTTGCTTACCACAGTTGACATTGAGGTATAAACAACATACCCCATCCTGACAGATTTAAAGAGTGACCACCATAGCTGAGGCACACAAAACAAACTGCTCTCTGAGGTCAGAGCTATGTGAAACATTTTCTAGATGTGGTAGAAGCCAGAATGCAATCATTTAAGATTACTAGGAAAGGAACATTATGACCCAGTCCCTTAATCAATCCTTTTTATTCTTTCCTTTGGGGTTTGATGCTGTTATTTAAAGCTTAACATTAATACTGTATCCTACTTTGATTCTTAGAGTATTGAGGCAATGACTAGCAAAGATACATCTCATATACAAGAGACATAAAGGTCAGATACAGAAAAAGAGACAGAGTGAGCACTTGTTTAAGGGGGTTTAGAGGCCACGAGGCTGTTTATGTTGCTTATGAATGAGAGCCTGTGTTTTTATAAACTTTCCTCTACAAGTCCAAGCCCGACTGACCACAGATATTGAGCACTGGCAGGTCACTCAAGCACTGACTGAACAAAATCGCTAGCTAAACAATATTTTCTTTGAATACATTTATTTTTCCTTCTTGGTACAATATTATTTTTTAACCCTATTGCAAGTGCGATTTACCATCTCACAACCCCTTTCAATTACAACGTTTTATTGAATTTGGGTTCAAAACTCTTCTGCACAGTTACTGCCATCTGGTGGTCAAAACGATGAAGCGCAGGAGTGACTCCAAAATATTCCTTAAAGTATTAAAAAAAAAAAGAAAAAAAAAGCGCCACAAAGTGAGAAAAATATTCCAGTGGATTTAGCATAAAATATATCCAGATATATTTGAGTATAAATAAACTTAACTTGAACCAAACTTTTAAATAAATAAATAAATATAAGATAGATAGATAGATAGATAGATAGATAGATAGATAGAACATCTTTCGGTTTGGCGTTTGCTCTCTTCAGGTTGGTACATTTGCCCACAAGATCACCTGCTTTAAGGTAAAAACTGAAGTGCAATTTTCCATCCGCTCCACCAGGCGGCGGAATCAGGCTTTAGGTTCAGTTTGACACATTCAGATGCTGCTTGACAACATGACGCTTGATAACAGTCACAACAACACGTGCAGACTGATTTAACAAATTCTGCAGATGACAGGTCAGTTACAGACTCATAATATCACTTGGCAGCACACACTTCAGCCCATAAACAAACAAAACAGACAAACGCTGCGATAAAGTGCAGTAGTGGAAGATGTCACGCGACTCACCTGTAAGTCTCCTTCTCTTCCAGTGTATTTCTCGTGTAAAATTACTACCACGCGTCTAGCAGTAGCCTGCTTAAGTAATGTATTTCAGTCATTGTTTAAGTGTTTGTTGGTGTGTAATTCAGATACAGAGCTCCTCTGTCAGGTAATTTAGTCTTTGTTTACATGCTGCTCTCTTGCTGAGCTCCCTGTCAGACCTTCAGAAGAACAAATGAATCATTTACTGTTGAGTTAATTTATAATCTTTGAATTGATCATCATCTAATATTCATATTATGAAGCGTAATTATTACTAATCATAGTTTTGTCTCTGTTGTTGTAGTCTTACTGTATGTAATAATCTACTGGACTGATGCTAATAGAGTCAGTTGGTGTGTGAAGCTGCTTCATGCTTTAGTAGAGCAGCAATGCTTTGCTTCTAATCAAAACCATCATGTATTGAGTTCATGTGCAGAAAAAAACTGCCTTTTAGAAATAGTTATTTACTGTGCAGCACAGCCTCATTTTAATTTCATTTGAACCAAAATATTATTATTGATACATCATTACTTATGTTAGGTATAATGTAGTTTAGACTGACTGTAATATGTTGAGTTTTAGCTACACAGTATGGAGTGATGTCTGTTTATTTATGTCTTTCCCCTACAGAATAAGGGATGTTTGGACCGTTACATTCAGCCAACAGAAGCATGTGGACAGACATTGACTGTAATGATGGACATCTGCTGATGCACAGGTAATGCTTATAACAGTTCACTGTGTGTTGTTTGCTTGTAAATGTATAGGTTACTATCATTTTCTTTTTGAAGGAGCACCCCTTTGAAAAGCAAATGATGGTAATCTAAGTAGGTGGGGAAGGGATGGGGGTTGAACAAATTTATAGCAAATTAAATTTTTTTCAGGCAGAAATATAACCCCTGCTGGACATTGTGCTGGAGCTCGGGGGGACACCATGATCCCCCACGCCTTCTCAGTCACACCAGACCATTCACTCATATCACGGAGATCTGGCTGGACTCGAACCAGCAACCTCTGAAACCGTGAGGCAGCACTCTTACCACTGAGCCACAGATCTCTTGCCTGAACATGTGCAGGAACTTATATTTCACTATTAACCCTGTCATTTTACAATAAACCAGATAAATTTAACCCATTGAGCAGGGATTTGAACCCATGACACCACCACAGTCCTTATTGTGAGTAACATGTGGTTAACCATCAGTGCCACACTGGCTTTCACAGTTGGGCCAATTTGTTGGATATAATGCAATACATGAGCTTTAATGTAAGCAATAGTGGGGCTCGAACTCAGGACTCCATGATCTCAACTCAACACTCTGCATCCTGAGCCACTGAACCAGGTGAGTTATGGGATGTTTTGGACGGGTTTCATTAAGAGCTTTGGTTCATGTGATTTAAAAAAACAAAAAAACACGACATTCTTAAGAGCGTTTTAGGTGGTGTTTTGCTGGACACAGTAACAACAGCTGAATGTAAGCAATAGTGGGATTTGAACTCAGGACTCCATGATTCACAAACAACTCTTTATCTCCTGCACCACTGTGTGGTGATAGCTGTTGTAGTGTTTGAGATGGAAATACGATAAAATAGTTAAAACATCTTCAATTGTGTGATTTGAACCCAAGGCAAACCACTGTTTTATGAGTCACAATATTTGCAACAATTTGTTGTTGGTTTTTCTGCTATGCAAATTAAGTAATAGTAGGATTTGAACTCAACACTCAATTTGTGGTGTGAAGGGGTGTTTTTCTTTGTGTTTTGTTAGATATGATGTAAATATATGAACTGCCACTTGTGCAAACCAAATGAGTCCAACACATCAGCCTGAAAGTTTCTTTTAATCCTGAAGGCCTGGATTAGTTGCTTCAGCTGTTTTTCATCAGAGTTGGAGCTAAAATCAGGACAGTGGCTCACCAGGAGCAGGATTACACAATCTCTTTCCTCCTGCTGTTTTCATGTCTTAATGCAGATACACTTATTGTCCACAAGGGGGAGTACATTAACACATTGATCTGGTCTCATGCCTGTTATCATAGACTGTATGCCTGTTATCCACCCATTCATTCTTCAAACCGCTTCTCCTGTAGGATCCTATGAGGGGATGCTGGAGTATTTCCATCTAAAACATTACAACAGAAGCCACTATGCAGTGGTGCAGAAGATAAAGTTGTTACAGTGTCTAGCAAAACCACCTGAAATGCTCTAAAAAAAATGTAGAGCAGATGCGTTTACTCGGTCACGCGAGCATTAAAGGGGTCATATGATGCTGCTAAAAAGAACAGTATTTTGTGTATTTAGTGTAATGAAATGTGTTTATGCGGTTTAAGGTTAAAAAAACATTATTTTCCACATACTGTACATTATTGTTTCTCCTCTATGTCCCACCTTTCTGAAACGCGTCGATTTTTACAAAGCTCATCGGTCTGAAAAAGCGAGGTGTGCTGTGATTGGCCAGCTATCCAGTGCGTTGTGATTGGCCGAATACCTCAAGCATGTGACGGAAATGTTATGCCCCTCACCATATTGTGATGATGCCCTGTCAATGATTCAAATGATTAAAAAATATGAAAACCCATTATAAACGAGGCATTCGTTGCATCCAGTGGGGACATAATTATGGATTATAATGACTTATACTGTCTTTTTACGCGTTGCGTTGCATCGCGCCGCGTAAACATAAAACCATGTCTGCATTTGTGATCGGAGAAATGACAAACAACAAGTGTTACTCTACACTGCCCAAAAAACTTGCGTTTGAA